AGCACAAAGTTTGTCGCTTAAGTCTTTGGTTTAACATGCATACATATTAAATGTGTAGTTTCAGAACAAAAATCGGAAAATACTGTCATGCAAACATTTCAAAAACAGTTAACGCAAATCAATCAAAAATTGTGTAAAATGTCGTTATTGGCATGACAGCTTCTAATTCTAATGCCAACATTAATCATATTTCATATCCCGCCGTGGCAAAACAATCGCAAAATTATATATTTGTATATTTGTTTCTGTGCATTTTTATGTATGTGTGCGCCTGCTGTCGAGCAAAAATGAAACACAAATGTCGACATAAAAATGTCGTGTGCCATAAGGCAAACAGACAGACGGACAGACAAACTGATAGACGCAGAAACATGCGGCGTTAGAATGCTTCTAGAACGCAAGAAGTATAAGACTAACTGTGCTGATACACAAACTCACAGCAACAAAAAATAGTGCTAAATGTTATTTTACTGGTGACGTGTGGAAAGCATTTGCTATATTTTATTTTTTCTTTTAATTTTTTTTATTTTTTTTTTTTTGTTTCTGCAGATATTCAATAGTTACTGCAACATAACTGTCAATTGCCTGTTGGCAGTTTGTGAAACAAAAACTTTTTTTACTTCTTTATATGCTCATACGTGCATTTCTATTTATATCTAATAGACACATGTGTTGTGTATACATTGTTGCATGCAATAAGCATGGTGACGCCAAATAAATTAGAATCAATGTTAATATTTGTTTGTGTACTCGTACATTTGCTTAACATATGTATGTTGTTGTATTTGTATGTAATACAACATATATGCATCGCTATTATACTACCTAAGCTTGCATGCACGCCACCGCGTGTACACATCTACTCGTATATACATATATATGTTGCACTCTTAGCTTAATGCATGTGAATGACGGTGTTGATAGATTTATGACTATTTTCGTTATTTAAATGTCGATTGTGAAAATTTAATTAAAGCGCACTCTTCAAAAAAATGTCGATAATAGCCAAACAATAATTGTAAAATAGCTATTGTAAGTGATGTATAATAGTTGCAGAATTAATGTGCGCACAAAGCGTGTGTTGATAGTTTGACAAAACTGCCAAAAACTCGTGTCGCATGCAAGAAAAAAATAAATTTTTGTGAATTTTGATCAGAATTAATAAATTAACGGTCAAGCCTATATCTCTTATTATTTTTTCACGCTTTGGAAAATTTTATGTGGATAGTTTATAATGTTACTAAGCAATATATCGTGATGTTAGTATAATTATCTCGAAAAATTCTCACGAATTTTTGATTTCCATATCATTAAAGTGACTGACAACGGTAAGAAATAAGCTTGAAGTAAATAAAAATTTAATGATTACCATTAAGGGCAGCACTAAATGAAAACGTTATAAAATAAAAAGAATTAAAATAAAATACTATAACACAATATAAAAAAATGAAATCTATAATGCAAAATAAGGTAAAACAAAATAAAATAAAACAAAAAACTGAGATATTATAAAAAGTGAGAAAAAATAAAATAAGAAACTGAAAAAAAGCAAAATAAGAAAATTAGGTTAAACTACCAAAAATAAAATATATTAACATTTAATTAAATAAAATAAAATGAGATGAAACGAAATAAAAAAAATTAAATAAGAAAATTAAAATGAAACAAAATAAAAAACAAATTAAAATGAAATGAAATAAAGCAAAATAAAGTATATTCAATTTAAATACAATAAAATAAAATAAATTAATATAAAATAAAATAATATAAAATAAAATAAATTAAAATAAAATAAAATAAAATAAAATAAAATAAAATAAAATAAAATAAAATGAAATAAAAAAATAAAAATGAAACGAAATTAATATATATTAAAATAAATCATTTAAAAAATGAAATTAATCTAATTTAAATAAACTTAAAATAAAAAAAATCTTAAAAAAAATAAAAGAAAATAAAACAGAATAAAAAATTAATAAATTAAAGTAATACAATAATACATAAAACAAATTAAGATAAAATTAAATAAAATAAAACAAAACAGAATTAAATTAGAAAGTGAAATGAAACAACTAAAATAAAACAACAAAAAAAAAATAAAATATAATAAAATAAAATAAAGTAATATAATATAAAAATAAACAAAAAAATTAAAATAGAATGAAATATAATTAAATGTATTAAAAAAAATTAAATAAAATATAAAAAAATAAAATAATCTTTAATTTTTACTTAGTCTGAATAAACCAATCAGAGTGTAAAGACATGTGTTTAACTCTTGTTTGTAATAAATTCCAGAAAATAAACAACTGCACCTTACTCCTATTCACCACACCACACAGTCCGCAGAACCTTCTAAGTAATTATATTTCAATTTTCCGACAATACTTTAAATTTTAAATTACTAAACTCTGATTTGTGTTATGGCAAGGCATACATACATAATATTAACCTGAATAGTGTTTTTTTTTTTATTAATCTGTCATCAACGATGAGTCTCCGATACTTTGCACATGCTTTTCCGACTTCTTTCTGTCTATCTTTCCTCACACAATTACACTTTCGACGGTTTGTCACACAAGTGGGATGTCACCACTTGAACACACGTCCGCCTGGTGTTGGCAATTTTCGACAATAAATAACGCAACGCTCATAATGTTCTTTTACTCACTTGAATTTTGGTAGAAATCTGTTTTGTTTTCCCCTTCTTACAAAAACGTCCATAATTGCCGATTATTTGCTCTGTCATTTGTTTTGTCAGCTCACAAACATTCAGCGGCAATTTTGTCACAAACAATTTCTGATGCCACAAACGCATTTTGCATGCAACCAGTAATTTGTGGCAGTTCGTCATTAAAAAGGCGAGAAGAATGAAAAATGTGCTGAGTGGAATGTTTGCATTTGCGTGTGCATGTTTGTATGTCTGTATGTAATAATGTAATGAAAAATTTGTTGTCGTGTTTTGTTTTTTTGTTTCTGTCGCATGTGTTGTATGAAATATGCAAAATTATGACAATTGTACGCATGTAAATAACTGCAAATCATAAATTTCTGGCAAGAATTGCCGCTGTCAGTCGGCGTGATTGCTGGCAAGAAAGCCGCCAATGGCACAAGCAGCGGCAGTCGCATCGACATTGGCATCGCCAGCAGCAATAACGACACAAGAGCAATCAACAATCGTATTTATGCACAAATACAAACACACAAGCATATGTGTGTATATGTATTTATTGCATATGTGCATTTGTACCTATCTCTGGCACGCGTAGTTTAAACACAGCGACGAAATACTATTATAAATAAAAATACAAATATATATACATATAAATAAAATTACATATCTCTGTTTGTACGTTTTACGCCTCACGCGCGTTTAATGTCGCTGCATATTTTCGACGAAGGCGTCGGCAGCAGCAGCTGTGCTATGACAATTTGCTGTTGTTAATTTATTTTCGCTTTGTTCTCTTTCCACCACCATTTTGTTACCAAAAATTTATGGAAATGCCAGATTGCAAATGACTTTGGCGGCGATGGCGGCGACGGCTTTAGAACTTTTTGAGTTAAGTGAAAATATGGCGCACCGTCTGATTAATGGATCTGTGACGTTTTCATATTAAAATATTTGAATGCACGCAAATACCTTTTCATAAACTTCTAGAGTTTCCCCATTCGAAATTTGCGCTCAAAATCTTTCGCAGAAGTACTAATAATTTGAAATTAAATTCTTATGCATAAAAAGTGTACATATTTCCGGAGTTTTATTGAAATTAAAAAAAAATAGAAAACACTGTACTGAAAAAAAAGATACAAATAAGAGAAAAGGAAAAATATAAAGTATTTTGACTGTTAACAGTATAATCTCTGCATATAAATATTTATTTAATTTTTATTTACCATTACTCCAAGGTATATAGGTGTCTAAAATAAGTTTAACTGCAAGCTACACTTTCTATATTTATTATCATTATTAATATTATTTTTGAAATCATTTGTCGTAGAATATTTCTTGTTCATAAAAATATTAATAAAATTCAAAATCAAACTTTATATAATAAAATTACAATAACCTCTTGAGATTTTTCCAAAACGGAAAAAAATCAATTTGAAAATTCTATTTACCACAACTCAGGAAATGAGTTGGTGGATGTTTAAAAAATTGATAAGCATAATTGTAAGCAATTTTATATAGCTATTTGGAGGACATTCTTTTGCTTAGAAAGCACGCACAGATTTTTAGAATTTCCATAAACGAAATTAATACTAGAATTTCTACAACAACATTATTTGTCAGAAGGCTGGAAGCCGTGATTTTTGGTTAGATTTTATTAAGAAAAATTATAATTTTAATAAACTAATTCAATTTCTTCAGAATGTTTCTCCATATTGAAAAATTGTATATGTTTTTAATAGACTACATCATATAAAAAATTACAAAAGTAGTGCGTGTAAATAACTAATTGTGTAATAAACTTCCTGTACATAAAAAAATTCAAAATCAAATTTTGTTTATAAAAATAATTAATGCTCAAAAAAAGTTCTATAATTTTTTCTTCTTTTTTTATACCCAAAATAGGTATGTGTCATTGATAAATATGTGTTCAGCCTAAATGTAGGCAACGATTTTTAGCTTATACTTATTCGTCTGCCCATTATTCATTATTTATTTTGCTCGTTAGCAATTCAATAAACAGGAGCTTTTGTAGTAGCCAAGGCACTTTCATATCATTTTCTGATTTCAGAAAGTTCTATGAAAGCGTATTTTGAAAAAGTTTTTGATATAATTAATATTGATGCATAGTATCTTTAAATGAGCACAAATAGTCTCTCGCTTTATTTATTATTTAATAAATTGAAAATATCGTGTTGATACACATAATTTGCATTAAATATCTCTAAGTAGTGACTAATTTACATATTCCAATATAATTCTTCAACTTTTATTAACAAAAAAGTGACCATTTGATGAATAAAAAATATATTTTAATCTTTTGTTCTTCCAGGTGAGAAGCCCTACACCTGCCAATGGCCTGAGTGTGAATGGCGTTTTGCGCGCTCAGATGAACTGACGCGTCATTATCGCAAACACACCGGCGCCAAGCCGTTCAAATGCGTTGTCTGCGAGCGTAGTTTTGCGCGTTCCGATCATCTGGCACTGCATATGAAGAGACATTTGCCCAAAAATAAATGAAAAGTTACAAAGCAATGGCAACAACGCATAAGCCAGTATGAACGAGTGTGAAATAAAAAAAGAAAATTTTTACAAAAAAAATATTTGCAAGAAAAACAAAAATAATAAATACAGCAAGCAACTATTAGCATTTAAGTGTATAAAAAAATATTATAATACAAATGAAATCAAATAGAAAGCGCATACAAGTATATTGAAATATGAACGAACACAAAACAATTCCAAAGGACATTAGTTATTATTATTAACATAAAAAAAATTAAAATAAATAAATTTAAAAATAATTGTAAAAAGTTACTTAAATGAACTTAACTGATTTGTTAAATGCAAACAATTCAAATTAACACCGCCGCCAATGCCTCAATTGAACATTTTGTAATTATTAAATACAAACAAAAAAATAAAGCAACAAATTTCATTTAAAATAATTTACAAATTGAGAGAAAACAGCAACAATTTGTTAGCAGCTGCAAGCCTTATAAACTTTAAGTTGTTAATATTTTAGGAAAATTTGTAATTATATTTGACATATATATGTACATAAGCAGCTTAGCATATTTGTATGTAGTTAAGTGTCAACAACGCATACTGTTTTTAAGAAATTTGTATTTTTTAAAATTTTAGAAAAATTTAAAAAATTTAAAGTGTACATATGTATGTATGTGTATTTACCTAACTAAACCAGTGAGTAATTGTTATTTGTTTTTGTACTTAAGTTTGTTATTTTTCTTAAGTTACCTTATATGTTTAGAATTCCTTCGCATTAATGTTTATAAAAATATTTCCGTTTAATTAAAAAACTTTACTTACTACTATTTGCCAGCTTAGAACTTTCCATTTAGCGTTAGTTACTAAAGCGAAGCATTCAACTGTGAACTAATCTCAAGCCATTAGCAAACACAAAACACACACACACACACAAACGCAGAGTCCTTAAAGCATCCTTAATAATTGTATGTGCATATATGTATGTATACTACACTGTACTTAAATAAAATTTACTTTAAGTTAAGCTAAAATGGTTTGCTATAAAAAACTTAATGATTTCAAAGAAAAATTTAACTAAACTTTAAAGGTGGTGAATAGTTTTGCAAAATGTACTACTACATACGTACATATGTAAATTGCCATCTGCTCCAAAACACATCCTATTATCTAAGCTAAAATACTAAAATACTAAAATACTTGTGTATACGTTCCGCTCTTTAGTTTTAGTAGCAACCGGTGAACAACTAAAATTAATAAATAAATTTATAATAGATAAACTCTTTGTACTTGGAAGCAGAAAATTAAAATTTACTTTGTATATTATTTAAAAAAAAAAAGAAAAGAAAAAAGGAATGAAGACATCATAATTTCATTTTGTAGTAAAAAATTTGAAAAAAAAAACTGAAATGAAATTAATGAAACTGTCAAATGCATTCCGTTTAATGAGTATTGTAAATCATAAAAAATATTTATGTATATTTACCATTGTATTACAACAAAAAGTATATATGTACCATTAAAGTATTGTAGGCGTAGTGAAAAGTAATGGCGTACATTGCATACATACAAAAGTAAAAATGTGCAACTATTGGCAAAAATAAATTAACAAAATTTCAAATGCAACAAAACGAAAAAATAAATGTTTTTTGGTGAAAAATTGAATGGTTAAAATATTTTAATTGAATGTTTACAACAGGCTTAATGTATGTCGGAATACACCAAATTTTGATTGCGCAAACAATACTTTAATTGGTTTAATGCGCATTTCGAGCGCAAGCAAATTAGTATGAATAAACCACCAAAGTGCTGGCACAAACATTTTTTCGAAAATAATAACCAAAAGTGTTTTTATTTCATGCTAAATAGTCAACAGGCGACACTCTAAATAAGGAAGGAAAATTTAAAGTGCTGATGTAAGTATGTATACAATCAACAGTGTTATATAGTCGGCAGCATTCCATCCAAGTATCCTTACCTTAAATTACTTGACTGAGTGCCCAGAGCATGCATTTCTGACAACTTTCACTCAAGTCGACAACTTATTAATATTTCAGGCGATCCGAAGCTTTTTTGTCTAAAAATAATAAAGTCTATATAAAGTCTGACGTGAAATTTTTTGTCACCATTAAGCGAAACTCCACTAGAAATGTGACAGCGAAAAACTACACAGAATTAGTTAGTAGTATTTAATTATTATTTAGAACTTAGTTTCTTATATTTTGTTTAAGCCTGCATAATATACACTTTCAAGTATTACCAAAGCGACCAGAATATTTTAGCGAACTGCAATCGAGACTATATAACTATATTGCTGAGCCATAACGAAATCTGGCCTGGGAGGCTCTTATACACCTACTTTGTACCCTAAATTTATAGTCCGTACTTTGCACCAAATCATTACCAAATCGTGAATGATTTGTCAATTGAGGAATTGGCCTCAGATAAGCCCGTGAAAATCGCATATGCCATTGGCATGATGACATTACAGTCAGAATGGCAAAAAGTTATCGAGCAAAGCATTGAATATTTGGCATAAACAAAATGATCATTAAATGGATTACCTATCATTAAAAAATAAAATGATACAGGAAACTGCATATTGTATTAACATTACATTAGATGGTGCCGCTGCAGGCTTTGCTGCATCTAAGACAACAAAACAAAGGTCTCTACAAAAGTGGCGCTTCTGCTTTGTGAAACTGCTCCGACCTCACGACGCTAGCTTCCGAGAGGAAAGAATAAGCAAGCTAAGCCGAAACATGGGCGTAGGTTTTAGGCTCCAATAGGAAAAAATTCGAAAATCATACTGAACTGTTTCAGATCACTTCAAGAGATACTTAACAGTATAGACTGACCATAGCTTGTATTCCAGTTAACAGAGATTAAAGAACTTTGACTTTAGTCACACGGCAACCCGCTTCAACCATAGATAGACATCGACATATATATATATATATATATATATAAATACATATACATATATGCACCTATATGGTATTTTAAGCATAAAACGAAGCCCTCCTACTGAATGTTTTCAACTATGGTCAGATTCTGAGATATTTCATATGCACTTTATTTCCTCTAAGATTCAATGTATACTTTTACTTTTAGATTTCAAGTTTCGAATTTAAATTCATTCAATTAGAAACAAGAATAAAATGTTGTCTGCGGGCAAGTAAAAAAATTATTGTCACAGATGTTTCTTTGATTAATTTCCAATATCAAACCGTAAATCTCAACGAATTAATTGTTAGGCGAATAAATATGTGATCTAACAGAAAAAATATATATTTCAGCAAACCAATTTTGGTTGAAATAACTCAAGACCTGAGGAACTAGCTTGCGCGCAAGTTGACGGACAGTCATAAAGGCAGACGGACAATCGCCAATTCAGCTTACTGTTCTGATCTGATCGTTATAAATTTTATTGGTCTTGGGATACTTACATACCAAACTTAATATTCCATTTCATGTTCATGCGAGGTCTACAAATATTGAAAGCTGACCCTTCCAAAATATGAGGTCATTGCTCGTCTAGGCTACCCTACCACAGGAGCAAGAGCAAAGAATTTTACTCTAAATTCCTAATTCTATCTCTGCCAAAAGCAGACTCATGCCTACGGAACTTGGAGCCAACAAATTATAACTAAAAAGAAATTTGTGTGATAGAGTAGCATGAAACCACTTAGAGTGACTCAATAAATTTCAAATAAGCAACGGCAAGTAAAAGTTTTATATTTTATTTTTTTTTTATTTTTTCTATGCCATTTAATTAGTATAATAAATTAAAATAATTTTTCTGCTGATTATCTTATAAGTAAACGATATTGACACTTGGAAATCAACTAACAAATAAATTAAACTCTAAAACAACTAAATTCTCTCACCAATGCTACTAATAAAAAATTAAAAATTAAATGAATTAAAAAATTGATTTTCGAGGTGTGAAAAACGAGAAGCGAAAAGTAGTAAATAAATATTAACTTTAATTTTTCACAAATATTTTCGGCAGGTGTTTTTGCCCACACAAAAATCCAGCCAAGTGTAAAAAAATTACCAAAAACAATAGCAACAATTGATTTTACTAAACAAAAAATTATACTAAGTAGTTAAAGACACTTAAAAGTAATATATGAAAATCATAAAAACCGCGCTGTTGTTGTTTTTGTGTTATTCATAAAATGAATTTGCAAAAAATTTTCCCAGACAAATAACTGCCCACACACACGTGAAATAGGCAAATTCGTCGCATTGTGCTGTGATTTGTAATTGTAGTTATATTTTTACTCCTTTTTTGTTATTATTGTATTGCCTTACGCTGTTGTAATGATGTTTTGCATAATTTATAGTTGTAGATATTAGCAGTTGGCAGTCTGCGCTGCACACTCGAAAGCCACTGTTAGTCACACTTATTTGTATGTATGAAAAAGACAACAAAATTCAGAATGATGTTTGATGTTAATCCCATGCAAGAAATAGCGTGCAACATTAATGGCGTTCCGTTTTTTCTTTGCTAATTGATTTTCTTATAACTACCAATTTGTGGGTCTCCTTCATATTTTCACCGTCCGCAGTGCAGTGTATTGCAATGACTTTAAGGCGATCTCGTATATTTGTAAGTGAGTATAATAAAATATATTACTTTTTATATAACATATTCGCGACGCAGCGGCGTGTAACTACAGTTGCGATTATTAATGAACTGTCAGTGGCGACAAAATACTCTCTGCACCCAGTTGGTGCATGTTTTTCGCCTTCCTTGCAAGTACTCGCCGCAGTTATAGTGGTGGTGGTAGTGGTGATGGTGGTGCGGTAGTTACATAGATGGTGATAAACAATCCAATGTTTTGTGTTGAAAATATTTTGAAAAACATGAAAAGGTAGGAAAAACATTTTTGGTGCAACAAGACACAACACGAAAATCGAATCAAGAATAAAATAAATATTTTCCACTCTCTCGTGGGCAGAAAACATAAAAAGTTCAGCTACTTGATTTCGTTAGATCGACGTTGTGTTCGCTTTGTTGTTGCGCAACATTTTGCTACAGTTTACATACATATAAAGTTATAAATACATCTATGTAATA